GAGTAGCGAGGACTTCTTTCTGAGTGGCAGTAAGGATCGTACTGTGCGCCTCTGGCCACTGTATAACTATGGGGATGGTACCAGTGAGACAGCTCCCCGACTCATCTATGCCCAGCACCGGAAGAGTGTCTTCTACGCAGGCCAGCTTGAGGCTCCGCAGTATGTGGTGAGCTGTGACGGGGCTGTGCACGTCTGGGACCCCTTCACAGGTGAGCGGGCCCAGGTGAGGCCTGTTTTGTTGCTGCTGGACCTCGCTCTGACAGGCCCCTGGGAATTGATCCTGAGAATTGGGGGGTATAGTGGTATGTTTTAGGGAGAGATTCAGTGAGGCTATACAGAGGAGCAGTTAGGGCTTAGAATCTTTTATATTTGCATTTGCATCAGCTCCACCACCTTACGTGCTTGTGAACTTGAGCAAGTCATTGTGCTGTTGGAAGCATTGATTTTCCCATCTGTGAAGTAGGAATTAGAAAAAGTGGTTTAGAAGATAACACACTTAGAGGTTTGGCTTGATGCATGTAGTACAAGTTTGGCAAACCATTGCTTAATTACTCATTGGCATCATCATAGGGAAAATATGGTTAAAGAGGAGAAGGGAAAAAAGAAAAGGGACAGGTGTAATGTTGGGACAGAGAGAGGGAGATGGTATCTAATCAGGGGATACTGTGTAAAGAGAAGACATTGCTTTGGGAATGGGAGCCTGATCTGGTCATGGAAGCAGGAAGGAGGGAGAGTCTGGAAACATCTTTAGCATTTTCTGAGTATCTTTGGGGAATGAGAGACGGGACAAGAAAGAGTCAGGGTTCTTCCCTCAGCTAGGACCCCAGATCCACTGTGCCCTTCCTTTTCAGGGAAGACACTTCGCACAGTGGAGCCATCGGACAGCCGTGTGCCCTTGACTGCTGTGGCTGTCATGCCTGCCCCCCACACCAGCATCACCATGGCCAGCTCTGACTCTACCCTGCGCTTTGTGGACTGCAGGAAGCCTGGCCTTCAGGTCAGGGGATATGCAGTTTCCTGAGCTCAGGCCTGGTTCTCTGGGGACCTGGCAGGGAGGACACCCACCAAGACAGAAAGGCAGACCGCTGCCCTGGGGCACTGGTCTCTTTGGAGATAAATCATCCTCAGCAGCAACCCTGGGGACAGGACTCTGGCCTATGATAGGGATGGGTTCTGGGCTTTTCCTTTCCTCAGATGGGGCCAGAGGCTCAGGCTTTCTGGCTGTAGAAGCTTAAATAGTGAGCGGGACCTGGGGGCGAGAGGGTGGGGTGACTTAGTGACAGCGCCTCAGCAGAGTCTCCCTCTGTCTGCAGCACGAGTTCCGCCTGGGTGGCGGGCTGAATCCTGGGCTTGTCCGCTCCCTAGCGGTCAGCCCCAGTGGCCGTAGCGTCGTGGCTGGCTTCTCCTCAGGCTTCATGGTGCTCCTGGACACTCGCACAGGCCTGGTTCTACGAGGCTGGCCAGCTCATGAGGGGGACATTCTGCAGATCAAGGTGATGGGCTCGGTTCCCGTCCACTCCTTACTGCCCAACCTCGGTTCATCACCTGGGCTCAAGGCCCACCCAGGGACAGGCTTGAGCTTGTGTCCCTTATATCTGCTCAAGGCCTGATGGGCAGGGAAGGTGGCTCTTCTGGGCCAACTCAGGTGCCAGCTGCACTGCTGGGGCCTTGGCAGGAGACAGGCCGTGGAGGCGGGGACCAAGGGCAGAGCTGACCCTGCAGCTCCATGGAGATGTTCTAATGAGTAACCCTTGTCCATATTTGTCTTGCTTGGAGGGTCAGGGGTCGGGCCCTGTCCGTGACCCAATTCAGGTTAAATAAAGCTCAGCTGGGAGGCTGTTTACTGCCCCCAGACCACTGAGCAGAGTCCATGCCCCCTGCTGGGCTGCTCTGGTGGGGGCAGGAGCAGGCCTGGGCATGAGGATCCTACTCTCCTCCACCCCATTTTCAGTCACAGGCCTCCGGACTAGTTAGCAGTCCAGCAGGGGAGGAGGGCTACTTGTGGGGAAGATTTCTACAGGCAACTGGAACGCTCTTCCCCAGCTTGGGTGGAGACCAGGGGACATGTGTTGTTGTTGCTGAGGCCAGGCTGTCCCCATCTCCCTTCAGATTTCAAGTATCTTTAAATTCTGACATTCTAAGAAAGTGTCAGAAAGGCTCTGGGATCAGCCTTGGTATTTATCTTGGTTCTGCCACTTACTAGTTCTATGATCCTATTAGGATTAATTAATTTCTGTGAGCCTCATTTTTTCTTCTGAAAAATGGGGACAATGGCAGCATCTCCCCCATAGGGTTGTCCTGAAGATTAAATGTGGTCATTAATGTGGGCAGCATGCCTAGCATAATACCTGTGGATAGTAAGTTCTCAAATGAGAGAATGATTAGGTTAATGACACTGAATATATCAATGTTAACTATGGTTAATATGATGTGGCAGGGTGGCAGCCTGTCATCCCTCAAGATGGCCTGTCTGAGCTGGGCACTGTGGCTCATGCCTGTAATTCCAGTGGTGTGGGAGGCTGAGGCAGGAGGATTGCAAGTTAGAGGCCATCCTCAGCAACTTAGTGAGACCCTGTCTCTAAATAAAATATAAAAAAAGGCTTTGGATGTGGCTTAGTAGTTAAGTACCCCTAGGTCAATCCCTTGTACCACCCCCCACCAAAAAAAAGGCCTGTCTCCCCTGGGCAATGTGGGAGGCAATGGGTGTACAGGAGGGTTCAGGCCGTTGCTGAGACTCTCCTCTTCTGTGGCAGGCAGTGGAAGGCAGTGTCCTGGTCAGCTCCTCCTCTGACCACTCCTTGACTGTCTGGAAGGAACTGGAACAGAAGCCCACACACCACTACAAGTCAGCATCTGACCCCATCCATACCTTCGATCTCTATGGCAACGAGGTGGTCACTGGCACTGTGGCCAACAAGATTGGTGTCTGCTCCCTGCTTGAGCCACCCTCCCAGGCTACCACAAAACTCAGTTCTGAGAACTTCCGTGGCACGCTCACCAGCCTGGCCTTGCTGCCCACTAAACGCCATCTCCTGCTGGGCTCGGACAATGGTGTCATTCGCCTCCTGGCATAGGCTGAGGGACCAGTGGGCTGGCATCTCCCTAGAGTCTAGATCTTCAACCTTGTTCCCCCAGCAGCTCCCTCGAGGCTGCCCCAAGTCCCCTTGCCCTGCCAGCTAAGGCCTCCACCTGGGATCCCAGCCCCTGAATCCTCAAAGCTATGAGGCTGCCAGAAAGTCTCCCATTCAGGGCTTGGGAGATGCTGCTCCTAGTCAACGGGAAGCAAGGAGAGCAGGGAAGGCATCTCGTTTCTCCCCAGCTCTGCCCTCTGGATCCACATGGGGATCCACAAGGAAGCTCCAGGAAGGGGAAGGGAGACTGGCCTTGCCAGCTAGTCTCTAGGAAAGCCCCTGCCCCTTTCTGGGCTCTCTCTGTCCCTGTCCCTCAAGAACAGGAAGCTGCCCCAGAGCAGGGCACTGATGGTGCTTGGATTCCAGCCTAAGGAGGGATGACCATGATCCAGGAGTTAAGGGCCTTGGTCTGGGGTTTAAGTGTTCACCCACCCTGCCCCAGAAAGAGGGCAGAACTGGACACAAAAGGTGGGCTGGGCCACCTGGTGCCTGCCAGGAGTGACCTATGCCTTGTCTGCCCACCCCTAACCACAGTGTTTGTGCCTTGAGCTGAGGAGGTAGCCTCTGGGCCCAGAACCCCTGGAGGTGTCCAGGATCCTGAGAGGGGTGAGAAGACTCATCTCTGCATCTCAGGTCTCTCCCAGAGGACAGAACCAGTTGTCTCTGGGTCCTTATCTGGAGCAGACATGAGGACTGAGACTCATGGCCCCTGCTGCCTCCTTACTATTTGCAATAGATGTAAATATTACAATAAATCCTTTGGAAGAGCCATGGAGTAGAGTGAGCCTTGTCTTTTTCTTTTCCTTTCTTCCCTTTCTTCCTTCCTTCCTTTTGGTACCAGGGATTGATCCCAGAGGTGCTTAACCACTGAGCCACATCATCAGCCTATTTTATTTTTTATTTTGAGACAGGGTCTCACTAAATTGCTTAGGGTCTCACTAAATTGCTAGGGCTGTCTGAACTTGCAAGCCTCCTAAGCCACTGGGATTACAAGCTTGCGCCACCCCATCTGGGTCTCTTTTTTTGAGACAAGGTATCACCATGTTTCCCAAGCTTGCCTCAAGGGATCCTGGTTGACCTCCCAAGTAGTTGGAGTTATAGTCACACACCACCAAACCAAACTTATGACTTGTCTTAATGGTGGTGGCAGGGTGGGGACAATTGAGACTCAGCAGCTGGGTCTAGGAGATGAAGAACAGGGCAGGAAGGTGGGAAGGCAGCCTGACTGCTATTGCTCTTTGGGTGGCAGAGGGTGCAGGGCTTCTGGTTTGTGCAGCCTCAAATCAGTTTTCCAAACCCTCATTCTTAGGAAGAGTAAGCAAGTCTTGTTCCTGATGAGGTAGGACACTTGTGGAGACTGCAACCCTCTCTCTCCCCTCTCTCCATGCCCTGACTTCTGGCTCACACTGAATGCAGCCAGCCAGGATCTGGGGTTTGTAAGGGGTAGGGGTGGGTCTCTATATAGACTTGTGCAGCCTCACCTTCCCTCCCCTTGGGATGGGGAGGCAGCTGTGGGGGGAGGATGGGACACTGGAAGCGGGAAACTGGATGTGACTCTGGATCCAGCTCTGTGTCCTTGGGCAGGGCACGTAGCCTCTCTGAGCTGGACTGACCAGGGATAATCTCCACTGGGAGGTCTGACATAGTGCCAGACCCCTGTGTGTCCTGGATAGGACCTGGTCTTGGCTGACCAGACCCAGCGTCCTCAACTGTTTCCTTCTGAACGTCCTTTCTCCAGGCTCAGGTGGATCCAAATCCACAGAGGCTTTGGGTAACTGTTTCAAGACTAGATACCCCTGTAGAAAAGGGGCTTCTGGCACTCATATCAATGTTTAACCGGATGTTCAGGTCAATATTTACCAGAAGAGAAAGCTATCTGAACAGGGGTTGGCTAAGAGCAAAGGTCCTGGTGGAAGGGGAGGGCTAGGCTGGGCTGGTGGAGCCCGCCAGAGCGTGGGGAGCACCCGAGTTGGGCCAGAGGAACATCGTGTGCAGCAGCAAGGAACCTGTCGAGGTAGGGTGGAGGGGTGGCTCAGCCTGCCCCTGGGGCAGGAGTGGAGGTGGGGAGCTGCTTACTTGGCTGAGGGGTCTGGGCTGAATTTATTCAGGAAGCCTGTAGTTTTGCAGCCTCCTGGGGTAATGAGGAGTCAAGGTGGGGTTCCAGAAGAAGTCCCTCTGGGACTTGAAAGATAAGGTCTTTCTTGCTAGGAAGAGTCAAATGCCCAGGTTGGAGACCAGGCTGGCCAAGGGCCCTTGTATGTGATGGGGGTGGGCTCAGGAATGATAGAAGGATCCTCTAGAAGGATTGGCCCTGAGATAGGGGAGGGATAGAGATGGGGGATGTGAGACCATCTCTGATGCCAAGGCTGGGGCTGATTTATCCTCCCCTAAATCAAGACATGCTACTGGGCGTGGTGGCACATGCCTGTAATCCCAGCGGCTTGGGAGGCTGAGACAGGAGGATAGCGAGTTCAAAGCCAGCCTCAGCAAAAGCAAGGCGCTAAGCAATTCAGTGAGACCCTGTCTCTCAATAAAATACAAAATAGGGCTGGGAATGTGGCTCAGTGGTCGAGTGCCCCTGAGTTCAATCCATGGTTACTCCCCACCCCCCACAAAAAAAAGACATGCCCATTCCCACCTATCAGCCTGATTTTCCTGAACTGGCCTGGAACAGAGCAGGGGGCGAGGCTTGTGATTCCCATAAGTCCAAAGGTGGCTGGACCAGTCATTCATTGGGCTCTGCTGCTGGGTCAAGGAGGCAGTCCTCTGTCCACCCCACCACACCTGCTGAGCCTCAGGGCTTCACGGTCCTGTCCACTATTGTTGGCAATACCCGACCAACCTGAGAAAGGCTGACCAAACGGACAGCAGGCTGGGTAGGCTCTCTGGTGTGGGAGCCCTTCCGAGAGGCTCAGGACAGGCTTCCCACCGTAGTGGCCCTGGAGCTAGCCTGACAGATTTCTTCCACAGAGGGCCAGGCCTTGTACTCAGCATTTATAAAGACTGTCTTTTTTGGTTCTCACAATCCACATGGGAGGAGGCGGGGACTTCTGCCACCATTTTCCAAGATAAGGCAGGTACCTGAGGCCTCCAGCCAAGAGGCAGAGCCTAGATGCAAACCCATGTCTGATGAACAATGCAAGCCCTAGAAGAATGAGAACTCTTTAACAACTCCCGATGAACCAAACTGTCCTTAGTGAATGAAATGGGAAGACCTAGAAATGACAAAGGCGAAAACAGTTGGAGGGAATCCCATCCTTCAGATTGTGTTTTTAGTGTGCATCCTGGTTCTGTAGCTTGGCTGAGTCAGGGTATGTGTGGGTAGGATTCCACCACCTGATGTGGGAGCTTGAGGTGGAAACTAAGCCTTCCTGTCCCTGACACAGGAACATGACACTGCTCCGAGGGCTCCTGGTGCTCAGCTTGTCTTGCCTGCAAGGCCCCTGCTCCGTGGTGAGGTTGGGCTGAGTTCTGGGTGGGGCTGGTCAGTCAAGTTGAAGAAGTGGCTGGTGGGGAAAAGCCGTGGGGCTGAAGGGGTTTGGGTCCAGGGAGGGCTTGGCTCAAGGGGGCTCCCCTACCTCTCCTCACCCTTTTCTCAACAGTTCTCTCCTGTGAGCGCCATGGAGCCCTTGGACCAGCAAGTAATGGGCGATGAGGTGCATGTGAGAGAAGGGAGGACCTGAGGGGTCTCGCCTGTGGCTTGGGCAGGGTGTGGGACCTGTAGAGAGGATCGCTCTCCATCTGCTTCCTCCTTCTGCAGTCAATTATCGGGCAGGCCCAGGAGAAGCTGTCCCCGCTTGCCCTCCTCAAGTTGGGCAACCAGGTACAACCAGGTGGGGCTGGGGAAGAGTGGGCAGGGCCAGAGGGAGAAAGGCCAATCAGCAGGGGTGAGGAAACTGGGAGGTGTGGCCGTGAGGCTGAACCTCAGGTGTTCAGAGGCCAGAAGGGATCCCGTAGGAAGGACCCTCAGGTGGCCTCCCACTACCCCAAGGGCTGGGACAAGGCCCTGCCATAATCAGGCACAGGGTCTATGAAGGAGACATTCAACGTAGTACCTGGAGCTGACGCTTCTGACCTTACTGCCCACGATCTGTCCTTGTAGGAGCCTGGTGGCCTAACTGCCCTGAAGAGGTCCCCAGGAGACTGCAAAGGTGCCCCAACTCCAGAGGAGACTCGCAGGCTGGCTCAGGCCATAATGTCTTTCACCGCTGACTTGTTCTCCCTGGTGGCTCAAAGTTCCACCAGCCCCAACCTCATCCTGTCGCCCTTGAGTGTGGCCCTGGCTCTGTCTCACCTGGCACTAGGTACTGTGGCAACACCTATCCAGACCAGCAGAACTGAGAGGCCAGTAGGAACTCACTACTCCAGAGGTTATCAGTGGATGGCTCCTTCATCAGGGTCACATGGACATTTGGTAAAAATGCAGATTCCTGGGCCCTCACCAGTCTCTGTGAATCAGATTCCCAGGGATTGGGCCTGAGAATGTGTTTATTTACAAGTTTCTCTAGTGATTTTTGTGCAAGACTTTGATAGCTATGATATCTCCCACTGGACTCTAGGGTCTCCTTGTGGGAAACTGAGGTCCAGAGAGGAAAGTTAACTTGAGCAAGATGAGGCCAGTCTGTGAGCAGCATAGATGAAAGTAGCCTTCAGGAGTTCTGTCAGTCAGTGGATACAGAGAGAAAGCATGTGCTCCGTGGGCGTACTCATCGTGGGTATCTGAGAGGGCTGGAATGGGAAGTGGGGGTGGAAAAGAAGCCCCCACCAGGGCCTCAGCCCACATGGTCTCCTCCAGGTGCTCAGAATCAAACACTGCAGAGCTTACAACAGGTACTGCATGCAGACTCAGGATCCTGTCTCCCCCATCTGCTGAGCCACCTCTGTCAGAACTTGGGCCCTGGGACCTTTCGATTGGCTGCCAGAATGTACCTGCAGAAAGGTAGTGCCCTGCATGGGAGAATGGTGAGGGAGATGGATTTGGCCTCACGTGATCAGTTGGAATATTGGTGGCTATGGAGGCCCCAGTCCCTGGGAACAGCTTGTGTGGCCCTCTGTGTTTAGGATTTCCCATCAAAGAGCATTTCCTGGAGCAATCAGAACAGCTCTTCCGTGCAAAGCCCATGAACCTGGTGGGAAGGCAGGAGGATGACCTGGCGAACATCAACCAATGGGTGAAGGAGGCCACAGAGGGAAAGATTGAGAATTTCCTCTCAGAGCTCCCAGATAATACCGTATTGCTTCTCCTCAATGCCATCCACTTTCAGGGTACACTTCTCTTCTCGAGTCCCTGCCTAGAAGCTCTCCCCTTGCCCTATAGGCTGAGTGGGGTTGTGCAGGCTTTCTTCTGAGGGTCTCTTTTCCATCTCAGGCTGGGCCATGAGGCAAGGGGCTCTCTGGGTGTAGTAGGGAAGGGGCTCAGAAACTGGGATGAGGTGGTTGAAGATAGAGCATCTTGGGAGAAAACGGAGGCCAGAAAGACCCAGGGGGGTTCCTGGGAGCATTGCAGGGGGAGGGGACTACAAGCCCAGATTTAGAAATGTGGGAAGAAAACTCAAATTAACAGTACCCCCTGGGGTCTTGGCCTCTACTTAATTGACCCTTGACTTGGTTCCAGGTAGGATAGGCAAGAGCCTGGTCCTAGGCTACATGGCCTCTGCCCTCTGCTTGGCTGCAGGTTTTTGGAGGACCAAGTTTGACCCAAGCCTCACCCAGAGAGACTCCTTCCACTTGGACGAACAGTTTACAGTGCCAGTGGACATGATGCAAGCCCATTCCTACCCCCTGCGCTGGTTCTTGCTGGAGCAGCCTGAGATACAGGTCACCCTTGCTGGGCCTGGGTGTTGGGAGGCAGGGAAGGAGAGAGGCAGGCTGTGGAGCAGCTACAGGGGTGAAGGGGATGCCCCGCTTTCCTTGCAGTCTTAACCCTGAGGCAGGAGGCTCTGAAAGGCAGCACTGTGACTCCACCCAGGAGAATCAAGGCTGCAGGATCTTTGAAGTTTATTAAGTCAATTAAATTATACTGAGCATTTGCTGTGTGTGATACTGTTCTAGACAGTGGGTTTTAGTGGAGATCAGGGTCCTACTCTTAGGAGGGAAGATACACAGTGCATGAGCAAATATAAATCAATACCATCAATTGTTTTTATTTTAATTTATATTAATTTTTTTTTTTTTTGTGCGGGGCAGGGGGTACCAGATATTGAACTCAGGGGCATTTAACCACTGAGTCACATGCCCAGCTTTTAAAAATTTATTTAGAGACAGGGTCTCACTGAGTTGCTGAGGTTCTCACTGCATTGCTAAGGCTGGCTTTGAACTCTCAATCGTCCTGCCTCAGTCACTGGGATTACAGGCGTGTGCCACTGCACCTGGCACACAATCATTTTGGATAGAGTTAAGTCCTATAAAGGAAAAAAGGAAGGAAGGAAGGGAGATCTGTAGTAACATGGTCAGGGAAAATTATTTCAAGAGGAGGCACTGACTTGAGATCTAGATGCCTTTTGGTGATATGGGTTTATTCCGAGGACCTGAAGTTTGTGGGGCAGCAGAGAGACAATCCCAGCAGCCATGTAGCTACTCAGTGCCTTAGTAACCCCCAAGCCTTGGAAATTCCACCTGCTCTCTCACACAGTGCTGCTTAGAAGGAAGGATCTAAACCAGGCACCATGGCTTAGGCCTGTGGTCCCAGAAATTTGGGAGACTGAGTCAGGAGGATCACAAATTCAAGGTCAGCCTGTGCAACTTAGTGAGGCCCTCAGGAACTTAGCAAGATGGGCTGGGGTTGTGGCTTAGTGGTAGAGCACTCGCCTAGCATGTGTGAGGCACTGGGTTTGATCCTCAGCACCACATTAAAAAAAAAAAATGAAATAAAGATATGTGTGTCCACCTGCAACTAAAAAAATAAATATTAAAAAAAAGAACTTAGCAAGACTCTGTCTCAAAATTTAAAAATAAATAAATTTTAAAAATAGATATGATAAATTATGGTATAATGGTATATTAAGAATTCTGTAAAAATAAATAAATAAATAAAATTAAAAACAAAACAAAAAAAATGGAAGGATCCAAGTCTGGCATATTGGTACATGTCTGTAATCCCAGCAATTTGGGAGGCTGAGGCAAGAGGATGGCAAGTTTGAGGACAGACTGGGCAATTTAGTAAGATCCTGTCTCAAAATCAAATTTTGAAAAGGTCTAAGAGTATAGCTCAGTGGTAGAGCACTTGCCTAGGATGGCTTCTCTCCATCTCATCCTGAAAGAAGGCCTACTCTTCCTTCATTCTTCATCTCCATTTCCCCATCCTCCTTAACCTTCCTCTTTCTCAGGCCCAGGAAACCAGACCTAGTGCTCCTCTCCCTTTGGGTAGGAGGCCTGCACACAGGTGCTCTGCTAGAACCTGAAGAGTTTCAGCTGCAAAAGCACCTTGAGCCTAGTGCCTTAGCTGCAGGAACTCTCACCCTGAAACTCAGTGTATACACACAGCTGACAAAATCACTGCATGAAGTGAGAGGGAGAGGGGAGGGGACTACCCTTTGCAGTGGCTCCTGCACAGAATTCTAGGTTAGTTTAAAAACCAGTGACCCAGCTGGGCATGGTGGCACACGCTTGTAATCCCAGCAGCTCGGGAGGCTGAAGCAGGAGGATCATGATTTCAAAGCCAGCCTCAGCAATGGTGAAGTGCTAAGCAACTCAGTGAGACCCTGTCTCTCAATAAAATACAAAAAAGGGCTGGGGATTTGGCTCAGTGGGTCCAGTGCCCCTGAGTTCAATCCCCAGTACTAAAAAAAGAAAAGAAAAATAAAAACAGTGATCCCCTCACATGGAGAAGATCAGAAGCAAAGACAGGTGGTTCTTTAGCCCATTCACATGGCTAGATGTACAAGATGAAGAGAGAGACATTATTTATTTCTAGTACTGGGGTTAACACCAGAAGAGCTTTACCATTGAGCTACAGCATCCCCAGCCCTTTTTTAATTTAAAAAAAAGTCTTTGGACAGTTTCTTACTAAGTTAGAGCCTCGCTAACTTGCTAAGGCCAGCCTCAAACTTGTGATCCTCTTGCTTCAGCCTCTCAAGTCACTGGAGTTAGTCATGGGCCACTGCACCCAGTGAGATAGCCTTTATTTATTGAGTGCAGCCTGAGTGCAGACACTGCTAGAATAAAAGCATTATCTTGTCCCGTCTTATGTTAGCTTGCAGTGGGGCAGGAGATGTTGCTCCACTTCCCAGGTGAGGAGGTAAAGGCTTGATCAGGAGAGACTTGAACCCCAGTCTGTCTGTCTCAAAAAAATACATTCTGGACCAGACTCCAGGTAGGTTTGGATGCTTTCTGATCCTCATATTCTCTCCTTCCTCTTTGTAGGTGGCTCATTTCCCTTTTAAGAACAACATGAGCTTTGTGGTGATGGTGCCTACCCACTTTGAGTGGAATGTGTCCCAGATACTGGCCAACCTGAGCTGGGACACTCTGCACCAGCCCTTGCTGCGGGAGAGGCCCACCAAGGTGCGGCTGCCTAAACTGCATCTGAAACACCACCTGGACTTGGTGACCACACTCAGCCAGCTGGGTAAGGAGGCTTGGCGTGGGGCTGGGCAAGGAGAAGACTGAGTCAGAGCTGGCTCTGAATCCTGACGTTTTCTAGAGGTTGGGGGAAGGTGAGAGTGTATTATATGAGTCCTTTGTCCTTCTGTCCTGGGGTGAGCTGGGGCAACCCAGGGTATGAGGAGCTACAGTACTGCCCAAGAGAGAGCACTGCAAAGACTCCTAATAGAGAGCCCAGGGCAGCATGTGAGCCTTGCTGACTCTCCTGGAAGGGGTTGGAGAAGCTGAGGTGCATCTACCTATCAGCCATTTGCTAAGCAACTTCTATATTCCAGGCACTGTGCTAGGCACTGAGAACCCATACTATAAAGAATGCTCAGTCTAATGAGGTGGGCCCCAGGGATTCAGGAATTTATAGTCCATCGTAAGTGATTAAAGACACAGGGCTTTTCTCTGGCTCACCCAGGGGAATACTGAGCAGGTACCCACTCTAGATTTTGGGGCTGGGGATCAGGGAAGACTTCCTAGAGGAAGTAATATTTAAGTTAAGACTTGAAGGTTAAACAGGAGTTAAGTAGCAATCTGTGGGTTCAAGGTGTTCCCTGGCCAAGGTGCTAGACAGGCCCAGGCAGCCTGGGGGAGAGAGGGTGGTCCTGACCAGCTGTCTGCTGCCCTGCACAGGCCTGCAGGAGCTGTTCCAGTCCCCAGACCTGCGTGGGATCTCAGATGAGAGGCTAGTGGTATCCAGTGTGCAGCATCAGTCCACGCTGGAGCTCAGTGAGGCTGGTGTGGAGGCAGCTGCAGCCACCAGCACGGCCATGTCCCGCATGTCCCTCTCCTCCTTCAGCGTGAACCGCCCCTTCCTCTTCTTCATCCTCGAGGACACCACAGGCCTGCCCCTCTTTGTGGGCAGTGTGAGGAACCCCAACCCTGGTGCACAGCCTGAGCTCCAGGAGCAGCAGGATTCCCCTGACAACAGGGACTCCTTCCAGGACCAGAAAGCCTTCCTCCACAGAGATAAGCCCTTTGGCCCTGACTTGAAACTCATGCCACCCTCTGAGGAGGATTACTCTGAGTTTAACAGCCCCAAGTGAGGGCCCTGGTCACCAGCATTCTGAGTCCCCACCCAGACCAGCTCTCAACTTGTGTGACTCTTTCCAACCAGCTTTGTGGGATGGGGGGGGGGCGGACTGGGTGGGCCTTCTGGGAAAGGGGAGGAGCCATTCTCTCCCAGCTCTTCCTGGGGAGTCTGGGGAATGGGCTGGGGCTGGAAGCCGGCAGGCATTAGGGACTGTTGGGGTTGGATCCCTCTTCATTTCTTCCAAAGAGGCTCAGAGGATGTCCATTTGGGAGCTGGGGTGGTAGGACAGTGGTGGATCCAGTTTTGTCAGGAAGCAAACTAGGTTAGTCCCTAAATCAGCCGGGACACTGGAGGGAGGGCTGTCTTTGGCCTTATCCCTGAACTCCCTGGCTGGGGAGAAAGAGAGGCCCTGGTGGTGGCTCAGAAGGCGGAGCATTGCCTTGGGTCCCGCCTCTGCCTCTCATGGGACCTTGTATCCTTCTCCATAGGTCAAGGTTGACATTACCTCTGATGTAACCTGCTAAAGGCCTACCAGCCTCCAGCCCATCCCAGATGTCCTGCCCGCCCCCGGTCTCCTGTCCATACACCCTCATCCTTAGAGATGCCAACACTGCCAGGATTCCCCTTCCTTCCTCTCTCCTGTCTTCTTCCTCTGCCGGGAGCTCAGGGGCTGAGGCAGGGAAGGGTCTCATTAGCTCTCTCAGGCTCTTTTGTAAAGTTTTTGTAGTGATTTTTATGCCACCTGAATAAAGAATGAATGGGCTGGGCTGTTTAGATGTCACTGTTCTGAGTAGGGCCGTAGGGCAGAGAGCAAGTGGGGGCAGAGGGGAGGCAGGGAGGCGGCCACAGAGCAGACTGCAGGGAGCCCTCTCTGTGCCACGTTTGGTCTCTGGCCAAATGCCAGTCCTCTCCAGGGCCACCTCCATGCCAGCCTGGCTCTGCTCTCGGCCTTTTCCTCTCCACATGCCTCAGGCAGCCGGCAACAAAGGCAGCTCAGAATAGCCCCGGCCTCCTGGTTTGCGAGAACTGGCAATTAGGGGGTTTGTGGGGCTTTTAATTACACATCAGCCCCTCTGCCAGGAGCTGGCGCCCGCCAGCCGGGGGCAGGCTGACAGCTGGAGGCCATCATGCTTGAGGATTTGGGGAACAAGGTTGGGGGTACCTTGGCACAGGGCTGCAACTTCCTCTGTGAGAGTCCAGGAACTGGGGGCAGCACGGGTGTCTAAGTGGGCGGGGCCTGTGGGGGTGGCCACGCCTCCCTGCTGGGCCTTCGTCTGTGAGTGCAGGGTGTCCATTTGGCAGCAGCCCCTTGGGTCCTAAAGTGCCGTGGTTGAGAGCAAGTGCCTGGAGGTCAGAGAGACCTGGCTTCTCCACGCTTATGAGCTAGCAGCGTGGGGAGGTGGATAAAGAGAGAAGCGCATGGTGTCAGAGAGTTGCTGGGACGGATCGCTAGGGCTCCAGGGCCACGGTGAAAATGTGGTTTTTGTCTTGGGAGAGGTAAGAAGTCACTGGAAGGTTAACTCACCCATCAACCAACTTCAGTTTTACCTCTGGTCTTTCACAGTGCTCTCCTCCTCTCCATTTCAGCTACCAGTTCCCAGGCCACTAGTCATCACTGTCCAGGGTCACTGCCATTGCCTGAGTCTCCCTGATGCTGATCTGCTGCCTTAATGGTATCCTCTGTCCTGCAACTCTTTACTGAGCACCTCCCAAGTGGCCAGTCTCTGCAAATGCAGCAATAATAAAGAAAATAGGATCTCCATTACCCTGAGCCCAAGCCCAAGTGGTGGAGTGGTCTAGATAGTAAGTAAAAATTCAAGATAAAGTTCAGCGATGAAGCCTGGAGTGAACAGGAGGCACAGCAGCTCATCAGACTGTGGGACTGTTCCTTGTTGCCTTCCTACTGAGAGAAAAAGCAAAACAAAACAAAAACAAGATCCAGTAAAAAAGCCCCGTGCAGTGGCACATTCCTGTAATCCAGCCACTTGGGAGGCTGAGGCAGGAGGATCTCAAGTTTGAGGTCTGCCTCAGCAACTTAGTGAGACTCCATCTCAGGAAGAAGAAAAAGAGAAGATCCATTAAACAGTATGAGAACTGCTTTAAAGAAAACTCACATGGCAGTGCGGTGGCACATGCCTATAATCCTAGTGGCTCTGGAGGCTGAGGCAGGAGGATCACAAGTTCAAAACCAGCTTCAGCAATTTAGTGAGGCCCTAAACAACTCAGTGAGACCCTGAATAAAAAAGAAAAAAGGGCTGGGGATGTGGCTCAGTGGTAGAATACCCCGGGGTTTGATTCCCTGGTACAAAAAGAAAAAGAAAAAGAAAACTCACATGTGTAACTAGGAAAGTCCTTTCCAAGGGTGACATCTGAGCAGCAAGACGGATATTAAAATGACCTGACCATTTAGAAAGACCTGATCATTTAGTGCTCAGGATGAGGCAACAGTCAGGGGCAAAGGCCCTGGGGCACAAAAGGATTTGGATTTTTGGAGAGACAGAAGGAAGGACAGTGTGATGAGAGTGTGAGAGGCCAGAGAAAAAATAAAAAGATGAAACTAGAGCTGGATGGAGTCAGATCATGTGGGTCCTTGCAGGCCAGAGCCAGGGGTTTGCATTTTATCTCAAGTACAAAGGGAAGCTGTGCAAGAGTGTTTCGCTTTAAATTTTTTAGTTGAAATATAATATGAAAAATATACAATTGTAGCTATATATAAGCTTAATATATTTTTTTTTCTCCTGCACTACTGGGGAATAAAACCCAGGGCCTTGCACATGCTAGGCAAGTGGGCTCTACCACTGAGGACATTCCCAGCCACTAATTAATATTTTCATGAATCAAATATCCCTGTGCAACCAGCACCCCAAACAAGAAACAGACTTCACATTCCTGTCTCTGGTGACAGCAATGAGTTTTTACTTGCTTTCAGGCTTTAGATAAAGGGATCTCACAGTCTGTGCTCTCTCATGTCTGTCTGGCTTCTTTAGTGCAACCTCATGGTTGTGAGAACCATCTGTGTTTTCGAGGATGGCAATACTCTGTCACTGTGGAAGCCTTTTAATTGCAGGATGTCGTGATTTGAGTTGAGTTCTGGAAGGCTCCCTTGGCTCTCATGTGGGGAACAGACTGGAATGATAGGCGAAGGAAGATGGGTAGACAGGCAGGAGATGAAGGTACCTTGGCCCAGGTGCTGGCTATGGAAATGGGGGAAGCAGTCAGAATCGAGGTGTATTTTTCAGATGGACATTATAGAATTTGTGGGTAGAGCCAGGCATGGTGGCACATGCCTGTAATCCCAGCTACTTGGGAGACTGAGGCAGGAGGATCACAAATTTGAGACCAGCCCAGGCAACCCTGACTCAAAAAAATAAAAAAAAGGCCTGGGGATGTAGCTCACTGGTAAAGTGCTCCTGCGTTCAATCCCCAGTACTGAATAAAAGAAAAAGGAGAAGGAGAAGGATGACTTGTGGATAGATGGTGTGGGAGATGAGAGAATGAGAAGGAAGACTCAAGGATGTGGGGCTCATCGTTAAATTCCTTGGTCTTTTTTGTTGTTGTTGGGTACCGGGGATTGAACTCAGGGGCACTGGACCCACTGAGCCACATCCTCAGCCCCATTTTGTATCTTATTAGAGACAGGGTCTCACTGAGTTGCTTAGTGCCTCCCCATTGCTGAGGCTGGCTTTGAACTCACGATCCTACGGCCTCAACCTCCCGAACCACTGGGATTACAGGCGAGCTCCACCACACCCAGCAAATTCTTAGGCCTTTTATTTGTTGTTTGTTCTGTGGTCCTGGGGATGGAACCCAGAGCCTGACACATGTTCTCACTGGGCTACATCCCCCACACTCTTTTTTTTTTTTTTTGTTTTGAGGAAATAGATTAGTAACAGTCCCTTTTACTGTGATGGGATGCAGAATGAAGGACAATTATAGGGTGGGTTGGAGAGTTCCATTTTGAACAAGTTATGGTGGAAATACCACAGGAACACAGGGTGATTGGCTGTACATTCCAGTTGGCTTGGAAAGTTTGGGTTATGCCTGTGGTTCTACCATAATTAGTTAGCACCCCCTTTTGCTTTTAGAGGTGTCCCTGTTTAAATGATCAGTTATAGGTTCATCGTACTTACCTGGCATCCATGTGGACATGGTAGGAGTGCAATTGCTGGGTCAAGTAGACAATTGGATATTTGGATCAGAAATAGAAGTGCGTAGCTGAGAGCATGTAAAGTCATAGGGTCTGGGTAGAGGTCATCCTTAGCATGTGCAAGGTCCTGGGTTTGATCCTTAACTCCCCACCAAAGTCATGGAACTATAGGAAGCCACTTAAGGGGAGGTGATGCTAATAGAGAAGAGGGGGTCCCAGGGTCAAGCCAGCAGAAGAGACAGAAAAGATGAGGTATCGTGAGGTAGAAAGAATGGAGGGGCATGGAGTATGGATTTCAAGGAAGGAGAATGGTCCATTAGGGCTGGGGATGTGGCTCAAGCCGTAGCGCGCTCGCCTGGCATACGTGCTCCCTGGGTTCGATCCTCAGCACCACATACAAACAAAGATGTTGTGCCCGCCGAAAACTTTAAAAATAAATAAATAAATATTTAAAAAAAGAGAGAGAGAGAATGGTCCATTGCTGCCTGCTGTCAAGGACAGAGGTGTCCCCTTGGTGCTGAACACCAGGTCATCCAGGAAGGTGGCAACAGCAGTTTCAAAGAATAGTGGGCACAGGAGCAAGGCGTTTGGAAGGAAATGGGACCTGAGAATGTGTAGATACATGAGTAAATAACTCTTTCCATTGTGGCTGTGGAGGAGACCAAGAAATGGGTGTGACTTTAGGGGATGTGGCCTAAAGAGATGTCTTTTTGATTTTTTTAATTTAAAAAAATTGGGGGGAGGTACTTGGGATTGAACCCATGGGGCACTCTATCATTGAGCCCCACCCCCATTCTTTATTATTATTTAACTTTTGAGACAGGGTCTGGCTGAGTTTTACAGGCTGGCCTTGAACTTGCGATCTGCCTACCTCAACCTCCCAGGTAGCTGGGATTATGGATGTGTGTCAGTGTGCTCAGCTTCACTATGTAAATTTCAAATCCCTGAATGATATATAGTTTGTCTTGCATCTTTTGAAACCTTACATAAAGGTATCAGACTGTTCATTTCTTTCTTCAATTTGTGCCCCTCCACCTTGTAAGAGAAGTCTGTTTGGATATATGTGGTTTAACTTTGTTATTTTTCATGGTTGTAAATTTTTCCCTCTTTTCAAATGTAATAGTTACTTTGTTTTGTTTTTTCAGGCCTGGGCATTTAACCCTGGGGTGCTCCAACAATGAGCTATATCCTCAGCTCTTTTTATTTTTTATTTTTTTAAATTTTGAAAACGGTTCTTGCTAAGTTGTTGAGGCTGATCTTGAATTTATGATCCTCCTGCCTCAGCCTTCTGAGTAGCTGGGATTACAGGAGGGTGCCACCTCACCCAGTCCTGTTCTGTTCTGTTTTTGAGACTGGGTCTCGCTATGTTGACCAGGCTGGTCTTGAACTCTTGGGAAAAAGTGATCCCCTGCCTCAGCTGTCAGAGTAGTTGGGACTACAGGTATGTGCCACTGTAGCTGGCTTGCTTAGGTACCTTTTGACTCCATGGGGGAAAAAAAAATCTAAGTTTTTTTTTTTTTTTTAAAGAATTAAACGCTTCCCATTATAATTGGTTCTCAAGGACATATAATTGGTTCTCAAGGACATATATATGGTGTGGTGATGTGCTGGATGTC